AGTAGGATCAGTGTAGTAGCCAGAAAACTCTCCCAGTCGGATATCCGAGTGAGATCTTCTTCTCCTGAAGCCACCACAGATCTTTGAGAGGCGATATACCATCTCACCGTCTGAGTCGCTTTCCCGAAGAAGCATATCTTATAGTTATAATGTTCGAACAACGCCTCGACACATTGGTTAGCGAGGCTGAAGTATCTGACACCTTGACAATTGTGCCCGAGCAGTAGACTCCATCGTACGCGTAGTCGGGCCCAAAATCGGTTTTCAAGTTCTTCTCATGCTGCTCAATCTCCTTCTTGATATCGTCGACCTCAGCGCGGAGTTTGTTAGCCCTACAGGAGGGAGACTACCAACGCAGGTTCGAACCCGACAAGGAATACTTTTCCCGTGCAATTTCGACTGGAGTCTGCTCCTTCGGCTCACTACTAGCATCCTTATCGTCTTCATGCTCCATCCACTGAGCGTACTCACTCTCATCTTCTGTGTCCTGGAGAGAATTCAATCACTCTACATCTACTTCAAAACACGTGCAGCCAAACTACGTCATCAACCATCACTTCACAAACATACAAAGTTCAGCTCAAACTGTGAATATTCCTACCTCGGTCTCCCCACTGGAGACGTCATTCTCCTCGGGAGTATTCTCTCCAGTTTCCGCCCCAGCTTCAGCTTCCCTCTTCACATGCTCCTCGTGCTCAAGCTGCCCGAGCTCCACTTGCGCTGTGTGACTAACGGTCTCGAGCCCCTGAGTAGCCGACTCGGGGATACTCACAGTAAGTGGTGGATACTATCATTTCCACCCAATATGCTTACTGGAAGCTTGGCCTTGAGCTCTTCCAATTCCTTCGTCCATAGGGCAATTTTCTCATCTGTGTGGGACCGTTCTTCTTCCTTCTGCTTTAATCCCGCCTCAATGCGCTCGAGATCAGCCTGAAACGATTGAGTCCACGCATATGAGAAGATATGCTCTGGCGGCCGACCTCTCGTTGTTGACGAATCTTCGCACCTTCCGCTGAACAGAAGTTCTCGCAGCCACCAAGTTGCCACTCGTCGGAACCGTCGCAACAGTCGCAGACTCCATCACCAACGTGGGAAGCCCAGACCAATTTCGGTAAGGAGCCTTTGTTCTCACAATAGAACCTGCTCGGGTGAATAGTAATAACGAAGCTCAGACGCTTACGCTGCTCCTGGGAAGTGCGAGCATGCAGCTGTACCGGGCTCATCTGCACCGTTGCTACCTGTGATTGACATTAGGGGAAAAGAAAGGCGAATTAATCGATAACTTACAATCACAGAAATCATCATTGAGATTCTCGTAAGGGACGAGTTCAGTGCCACTTCGCGCCAATGGGTCGCACTGGAAGAACTGATGGCCACCGAATTGAGGCGGAGCTACGGGCTCGTAGTACCTACAAAGA